AGCTTCCAGCCACCCTTCTGATATTACAGATACCTAAGGAGGTTGGCTCTGTTCTGTCACTTTAAATACATGTTTTTTCAGTCTTTTTTCCCCCCACAACCATCCAGGCCTCCTTTATTAAAAAAAAAAAAAAGGAATTAAAGCCCTGTCACAACAGATGTGTTTGGGTTTCTGTTGCAGAGTCCATAGAAAGTAGAACAGAGGCGGTCCCTAAGCAACAGGGGTCTGAAGACCACAGGCTGAAATATCCCTGACTTAGCAAATAAATTAACTGGGCCATTCATTTTGTACTTATGAACTATTATGCAAATAAAATGCATCATTATATTAACAGACGTGCTGCAATTCTGCAATTTTAAGGCACTATATGCACCACTGATGAAGTCACGACAACCCAGACTTTTTTCTCAAGTACCAAAGAGCAATTCTCTTCCTTCTGAAAGATACAGACTAAGATTGCACTACTCACGTGTTCCTTATGTCAATTTATATGAAGATATCAAATGATTTACATTTTTCCAGAGATAATTCACTATCATGCTTAACTGACTATACCATGACTAAAATTACACAATACTTATACTATTTATAGAGTAACTTGCAGAGACTGGTACCATTAACTCAGACACCACTATCCCAGGTTCAGAAAACAAGCCTGCAAGTAAAGCCTATGAACCACAAGACCTCTGGAGTGGAAGATGTTCCTCCTAAAAAACACACAAGATGGCATTTACTGCTTGCTATTGTCTTGCATTTTTCCCACCCCCCTCCAGCTCGGTGTCAGGTACTGCTTAGAAGTCTGCTTAGTAAGTGCTGCTTATCAATGTTATCAGTGCTTATCTTACAAGACTTCAGTTGGAGTAAAGCCATAATTCCATGTGTTTCGTTTTAAAGACAAACTTTCATTTAAACAAAAATCCTCACCTAAATATAATATAGAAAACTTCACATCTTAGGCATGTTTTTTAATAAAGCGCCTGGAGTGAAAACCCAGGAAGCCATTCAGCATCACCCGCTACGGAGCCAATGGGATTTGGTCCCTTCCCAACACTGTGAGACATTATTTGTTTTAGCTTCTTAAAAGTCTTAAAATAAAATTCCTTCCTCGACCACTTTCAAGGGAGCACACAGTCTAGTTCCACAGTGGGAATGTGCTCCACCCACAGCGGGCTATGGGAAAGCATCTTGAGGCATCAGGCCAGAAAGGAAAGAAAACATTTACTAAGGCCATCTTGTCTGTGATGATGGTGAACTAGCCAAGAAACTATAAAACGGGCAAAGAATTTATATTTCCCAGCCTTCAAAATGTAAGAGAGATGGCCCATGTGTTAATGCATACTCTTTGTGCCTTCAGGCAAGTCAGCAGCTAATTTTAACCAACAGACTCAGCGCGTTTTTCAAAATAAGAGAGAGATTTGGGACTTGGCTCCAGAAGTGAAACAGGCACCCCAAATGTGCGTATTTCCACTGCTGAGCACACCGACCTGCTGAGCTGACCAGCACTTCCTCTGAAATTCTACTTGGTGGAAATCTGTATGTTCAAGGTGTCTGCTTCACTTTTGAAGCCAAATTCCAGATGTGACCACTGAACAAATACTGAAAAAAATACAACTTAAAAAAAGATGCATTAATTTGTGGGTTTTTTTTTTTTAGTTAAATGTACTTGTTTAATAATATTAGTCACTAATAATGTACTAAATTAAAAGCAAGAAAAATAAAACGGAAGACATTCTTGGCTCTTGGAAAGTACCAGCAATTTCGTTGTTATTACTCAAGAGAAAAGAGCTTAATATTTGACAGTTACATCAACAACACAGAGCTGAACTTCAGTGCTTGAAACCAGTCCCTTACCAGCCACACCTACCTTTTGAGATGAGTAATAGCATTTTCAGATATTTCAATTTTACTTGAGTGACATTTGTAGGGAAAATAACTAGAAATGTAGCAGTGGAAGATGCAGAAAGTTAAAGATGGTTACTTAATTTTCCACATGACGTACCAGACTCCTCCAGTAGCCATGCCCAAACTCTGAGATACGTGAGAAATACAACAGAAAGATCTCTGCTCTTGTTAGAATCAATCCCACATGACTTGCACAGGGCAACAGTGCACCCCATGGTGCTGCTGGTGGTACTAAATTCAATATGACAGCATCCTCCAGCCCCTATATGAGCAGTCTTCTCCACTGAGAGTTGGCATAAGCTCTGACCACAAAGAGACACAGTATTTTTGCTGGCCCAAGCACAGCGTAAGAGAGACTTACTCCAATATTGTACTCTTGGCTGGTAATTTTCCTTGTAATACGACAGACTGCGCCAACGAGACAGTTTCCTTTACAGGCTGATATCAATGGTTGTGCTATTTATCAGCTGGAGCATACCAATGGTTTAAGTTTACTAATACAGTAAGATTTCAATTTGCAAATAATTTGCATGCCATTATTATTATTTTAAGCCCTGAAGAAGTACTGTTTGATGTAACAATAGTTTCCTCATTGAAGCATTTTCCAGATACAAGCAGGAGAATGATGCTGAAGCCTAAGCATTCTGACAGGGAAAAATTATGTCAAAACATTTTGTATTTTTGGAGATGGCAAGCACCCAGCTCTGAATTAAGCCCAAGGAAGGTGAGAGCCATGTTATCTTCAAAATGAAAACATGTATTTTTAAATTAGGCATTACTATGCCAGTCACACAACCCAGATGACACGCATTAATAAAAAACCTCCCAAAAGCCACAGTGACCAGGATCAATAAGCACGCGTCTACTTGCAACCCAGGTTGACATAATCAGCCAAGAGTTAACAGCACAGTGCACAAAGCCACATGAGCAGCCAGAGGACTCTGCTCTCAGCCTCTCTGCGATTGTTATCATATGGAAACTCTATTACCCCACACAAAAGAATCAGAGGGTTATTAACTTCTATACTAAGCCAAAGTACAAAAACAGCGTAGGACCTAACATCTATTCTAATGCCCATATTTATATTAGAAGAGGGGAAGGAATAACACAGTGAAGCAGTAGAATGGAATATATATATCCTATATATAATTCCTCTCACATCGTTCCATTTTTTCTCTACTAGAGTCTTTTATACATGTTTTCAGGATCAAAGAAACCCCCAAAGCATAGGCAGCATCTTGTACAGGCGAAGAATGTATATGGTACTTATAATCAACATAAGTAACTGTAACAAAGCTGTGATTATTTCCTTGGAGGAATATACTAATCCAGCACTATTTTGTCACACGTGATCTTAAATCAGAGATTACATTATTCCCTTAAGCAATAAATTCAGTGCAGACAGCCAAGAACATTGAATAAGTCACTTCTTCAACACTTTCTATATATTAAAATACAACAGAGAAGTTTCAAGGCATAGTTGTTGACAAGTTCCTTAAAAATAAATCCAACAGTCTTGAGAACAATAGTATATTGATCAAAGTTGATGAAAAGAAAAACACAAAACAAACAGATCCTATTACTGCCAAAAGGGAAAGGAGCCATTTTAGAAGCTCTCAACTCTTCAGTGCAAGAACACAGCAAGCATCTTTCAGAATCCATCCAACTTTCAGCCACATTCCCCCCTACCATGGATCTTACTTACACAGCATCCTCACCTTCTTGTAGAAAAAAGCATGAGAAAGACAGCAATTCACACCTCTTACCAGACAGACTTCATCAACCTATGAAATTACTTAATGTTACCCGCATCTTTTGTCTTCTTTTTAAACAGTGACAAAAATCTACCCAATTTGCAACTTCTAATAGCAACTCACATACAGCTACCTTTCCTGGTCAAGCAGCAAATGCTTGCACGGTTCCACAACACACCTGCAGTCAAATTCTCTGCAAGAGCCAAGAAGAAAATTTGTTGCAAGCTGTTCTGTAAGGCTAAAGAACAATAAACAATGGTTATTCACCAGAAGGTACACAGCAACCCACACCAAGGGTAACCTTACAGTCATGGCAGCAAGTAAATTCACCTTCCCTTCAGTGCTCTCAAAAGATGAGCATGCAGTCATTGACCTTAACAGAGGGGAAAAAAAAATAAATAACTCTATGCTCCTTCATCATAAACACTTCGACAAGGTAGACTGCAGTCCCCGAGAATAAGCACTTTCCTGTGTAAATGCAACAACAGAAAGCCCGCACAATTCCCTAGATACGCATAATTAAGGATACATCACTCTCCTTTTCTCAGAGTACTTTCCCAGGGAAACTCATCTGCTGTCTAAAAAAAGAGTCCCCTGTCACAGTGCCACGCCAGGGTAAGCACCAATCCTTCAAGGTTCTGCACATCTGGCCCCAGGCCTCCTGTTTCCACGTTCTGATCAGTTTCGACTTAAGATTTCTTGCTCTCTCATCCTTTTTCCACACATCTCATTAAACACTGTCCTTAGCATCGTTCCTTCAAGCCCATCTTCCAAATAAAGCACTAACGGCAGTTTTTCTGACACGCAGACAGTTCTGTGATCTATTCCACAGGGGAAAAAAATGAATTATTTCCTCGTCTGTAATTCCTCACGAAAAAGAAAGCAATACCCTTTCCATGACAGGAACCTTCACGCAGAGCTTATCTTCCTCCTACACAGGTAAGAACAGCTGTCACTGCCTTTGTGTTTTGCACCTCACGAACTCACCGTCCACGCAGAGCTCCTGACCCAAGCCCGAGAGCCCCCAGCACCACTGGGATGAGCCGGCCGTGCACTGTGCCCGCACCTCCCTCCTCCCCCAGCACCGCAGATCCCCTTCCCTAGCAAGCGGCGTCCTCTCCACGGCCGCCCTCCCTCCTCGTGCACGCTCGGGAGCCGCCCTCGCTCCACAATAAACCCAGATCAGCCGGCTGCCGTGTCCTCCTCGCCTTCTCAGGGCCTTCCCCGGCCGCCTCTCCCCGCCGCCCTCCCCTCACGCCCGGCCGGGCCGCTCGGGCCTCTCCGTGCGCTCCCCGCGCCGCCCGCCCCGCTCCGATCCCCGCGGCCCGGTAGGGCCGCGCTCACCGTCCCCAGCCGGCGCCGTTCGGGCAGGCCGCTCGGCTCGACGCGGCGAGGCCGCTTCCCCATTACCGTCCGTCGGGGCGCTGGGGCCCGGCTGGGCCATGGTTCCGGCGGGCGGCGCCGCCGCGGCCTCCTCCGCCTCCAGCCGCGGCGTCGGAGCGGGAACCGCTACGCCAGGGGGCCCCGGCGAGAGACGGGAGCTGCCGGCCCGGGCCTCCGCCTCCTCCGCCTCATCCTGACAGCGGCCGCCGGCGGCGGGAGGAGGAGGAGCGCCGCGCAGGCGCCCACGGTAAGAGCACGGGAGCGGGGGCCGGGTGGGCCGTGCTGTGTGGGGAGGGATGTGAGCTGCGCTGGGCGGCTTCGCCGGAGTCAGGACGGCCGCTATAGCGAAGCAGCCTGGCGTCTCGAAGGACCTCCTGCTCACCAGGAGCCCCATGCTGGCGGAGGAGGCTGTCGGTCCTTCCACCTCAGCAGGTAAATACGTCTTGGCTCTACTTTTTAATACCAAAGGAGGTGTACAGTGTTTAGAGGCTATAAAATCACTGAGAACAACATTGGAATGCATGTTGTGATTCCAAATCCTGTCACGGGCTGGATCCTCCTCTCCTGGTTGGCTTGGAATCACAGAATCATTAAGGTTAGAAAAGACCTCTGAGACCATCTAATCTGACCATCTACCTGCCACCAATACTGCCCACTAAACCACATCCCTCACTGCCACCTCTCCATGTTTCTTGAACACCTCCAAGGACAGCGACCCCAGCACCTTCCTGTACAGCTGTGCCACTGCATCACTACTCTTTATGGCAAGAACTTTTTTCCAGTATCCAATCTGAACCTTCCCTGGTGCAATGTGAAGCCTTTTTGTCTTTTTGCTGCTTACCTGGGAGGAAAAGCCATTCCCCACCTTGCTATAACCTCCTTTCAGGGAGTTGTGGAGAGCAAATCTAAAAGCAATCATTTTTAAACTGAGTCTCACAGGAATTTGTACTGACCCCTCACTTGTGACCGCATTTCTTCAGGCCTTGCTATCAAACTGTGGCAAGACATAGAATTCTGCATTTCAAATTAAATTGTTGTTCAGTCAGAACAATCTTAAGATAGAGGAGGAGCCTTTGAAAACTATTCCTCTATGTTTTGCCCATTTTGATCATGTTACCCATTTTAACCCAATTTGAAGTAAGTAGTCTCCATCTTTGCTGTTGTAAAAAGTGGTCCTCAGGTGAAAACTTACTTACCTCTATTCACAATGCAAGCTATCAGTTTTCTTTTCAAGGGTGTTGGAGACCTTGGGATTGCTAAACAGTCAGAATTGCTGGCTTAGAAACACAGTCTTTCAAGCATCTCATCACTACCACCTGTCTATTTCAAAATTTCGTAGCTGCTTCCTAGGCTCTTTTAGAAGTAGCTGAATATTAAATTGGACACAATAAATCCTTTTGAAAATCTAGTCCTATCTGTGGGAAATGAGGTTTGGAAATTCCATCCTTGTGTATGTTCAAATGAGTACCCCAAACCACCCATATTAACAGCTGCTTTCATCTTGTTCATGTCAAGGCAAAACTCCCACTCACATTAATTGGTCCAGGATTAGACCCCCTAAAGTAGTATTAACTTCATTGGTATGGTTTAATATTTTTTTCTTTTTCTGGGTAGCAAGTGGACTTGACAGATGCAAAGGTTTATGGAGTAGCTATTCACAATGTCTTGTGATGTGGAACAATTGGGTAACTTCCTCTATGCCTCCCCAGCGTCCCATTTAATTCTAAACGCTTGTAGTTTTTATAGTCCTGATCTTCCAACATACTTAGCTAAACACAAAAAGTGATAAGCAAAGTTTAACAGCAGTCATGGAAACAGGTCTGTTGCAGTGGCAATACCAGCAGAAACCAAAAGGCTGAATGCTAGTTCCCATGCTGTAAATGTTAGACAGGTGCAGTGTTAATGAATCAGTGAGACATGGCTTAGCTCTAGAGAGCTGCAGGTGGATAGACTTATTTATTCAGGAGAATAATTTTCTCCAGCAATAATAAAACTCCTAGATTTCCATACATTTTTATCAGGTATATTTGATCTAACAGTCCAACATGGACATTGTCAGTGTAAGTACCACAAGCAGTAGACAGAAGTTAGAGGAGAAGATGAAGAGTGTGTGCTCCATTAGTAGCAGATGCAGAGGGGCTGTCACCTTGCACTTTGCCTGAAATTTAATCTCACAGACTTGCTGAGAAAGGTAAGTGTGCAGCTTTTGTTTAAACAGTAACATCCAGTGACAAGCAGTAAGTTTGTACAGTCCATGGTTGTCTGGAGACCAGGAGTAAACTCAGGGGCACTGAGACTGTTTGAGAAGGGTGTAGTGAAATAATTTGCATGACATATCTAAGAGAGATTTTTTTTTTTTCTTTTTCCATTTTTTTTTTTCTTTGAAGGAAATAAAATGAATAAGTAGCAGAAGAGCTAATTAAATCTTTTCCTTAATAGATCCCTGTTTTGTGGTTGACTGACTTCAGTGCCTGTAAACGCTCAAGTTCCAAATGAAACTTTTCCTACTTTTTTGAGTGCGCAGAAATCTCCCTTTGTGTGGCTTTCATTGGGGCACTTTAACCTCAGCTGAGGCATGTATTTTTGGAGAGTGTAATGATCTTTGCTTTTATCTGTATAACTACTCCCAGATCACAGATCTGGTTGAGTTTACTCTGGCTTTATCCCAGTTCCATGTCAGGACAAGACACAATTCCACGTGTTTTACCTCCACTTGCAGCAAAGTACACAGCTTAGGGGGATGTCACAGCAAGTCCTTTCATGTGCATGATCAGAGGACTGGGGCTTCGTTGCTCTGGGGGTCAGACCAATGAAGAATATGATTGTAACAGCTTTCTTTTCCCAGGAAGCGAGGCTAATAAAATATAGGGCTAGTTCCTTTACTTTCATATGGTACAAGACACCACTGTTTCGTACTGTAACTAAGCTGAATCTACAAAAAATGCATTCTTTTAAAAGATAAACTGAAGTTATGGACCTGCAAGGCTGAGTCTACATCTGATGTGAATTCAGTGGGAACAGACTGATGTGTGGCAAATGAGAACCTGGTCTATAGAAGAGAATCAAAACGGATATCAGAAAGTTCCTCTGAAGTGTGCTGTTTCCCATTTATATTGCTTTACTGGCTTGCTGGCCACAAATTATTTTGATTCCATTGTGCCTTGTATGGTAGGAGTTTGCAGCAGCAAATTACAGACCCTGCTTCATAATGTAATTCATCTCATAAACCACCCACTGTTTAATTCAATCCATCCAAGAAAGCTGATTAACAAGGTAGATTTGGGAAGCTGCCTAGTGGGTTACCAGACTAGCACAGTTAGTGGATACAGTGGCAGAACTGAGGACCAGAAGACTGAGCAACTAGAAGAACTAACTTGGGAGCAACTGCTCATGTATCCCAGGTGACTATCAGTAGGCCTTAGTGAAGATTTTGGTAATGATCTCGTTTATTGGGCAAAGCACAAGAAGACTGACACAACAGGGAAGACCTGATGTGGAGAAAGTAAATATATGACAGGAAAAAAACAAATGTGTTTTTTTGCAAGTGAAGCCCAAGGGAAAAGAAGCTGCTCATTTCTCTACGGAAGGACTCAGCTGCTCCCAACAGCAAGCCATTGGTTTTTTCAACAGGCAAGTAATAGACTTGTCCTTCTGGGAAAAAAGAAGATGGAAACCAGAAGTTATTGCTTGTACTTTATATGTTTCCAGGTTTGCCAGAATTTGTCAACTGTTTCTTCTCATTTTTTAAAGCAAATAAAAAGCTTAAATCAGAAAGTGTTCAGAGTTTCCCAATGTTTAAACATTTATTTTCCTCTTGTTGAGATTGATGGGTCATTAGCATTAAGCATTAGTTCTGCAGATATGAGTGTTTGCAGACTTTCATCCTTTCTCTTTAATGCAAAGCTTTTGAAGAAAATTCACATTCATTTAAGCATTACCATAAAGAGGTTGGTTGAAAATCCCAAACCAGTCATGCTCTTTGCTTCAAAAGTTGTTCTGCAATGCAAGGAATTCAGTCTGGAACAATCACATTATTTGCAATGGTAACTTCTTAGTAAACCCTAGAATAGTTTATGTGGTTAAAAACCTTTTCAATTGAAAAATTATGTTATCCCATCGATCGTTTAAAGGATTCCATGTGGTGCAGTTCTTTGAAAATATGGGAAGCAAATGAAGCCAAAAAAGAAAATTTGGCAGGCAAAAAATTGAAGTGCTTGCATTGGCTCTAGATCTAGATATCTGAACATTAATGATCTCATTGGAGAGATGTCTATATTAAGATTCAAAAGCTTTCTGGATTCCCAAGGGGCAAATTCATTGAATACTGGGATGCACCATGAAGCTAAACAATTTTTCTTATTGCAAAATAACTAAGGAATCAGAAACTCATTACGTGAGCATAATAAAGGACACATTAAGAGGATAGTTTTGTGGGTAACCTTGCTCAGCAATACTTCATTGGAATTGTTGTTGCAGAGAGGCCCAAAACAACACTGCTTTGTACTTAGATGTTGCTTTGTTGAAAGATCTAAGAATGGTCCATAACCCATTCAGACTCGCAACATTTATATTAGCATGTTATCTGCATCTGTCTGCAGATGTACAGGCAAGGATGCGGCAGGGTTGAGCCAACTTTCCCATAGTGGTTTAAATTTTTAGTACTATGTAGCCTGCTCAACCCTTGCGTTAGGGAGAACTGTTGCTTAGCCATGCTCAGCCTGAGCTCTGTCTCTGATAGATCTGTCTCTATCAGTGATTTAAGCAGAGATGCTGGATTTCGCATTGCAGTAGTTGAAGTGTGAACGCATGGAGCCCCTCCTGCCAGCCCTGCTATTGTATTTCAATGAGTGAGAGCAAGTACAAGTAAAGGCCATGTCAGTCACCACACACCCATCAGTGCTCGTCCAGCAAAGCCCAACATGATACAGCAGTGGGCACAAGGGCAGAGAGAACTGTGTTGCTTGTCTCCCTATTTAAGAGATTCTATTTTTATTTTAAATGCTAAAATAATAATGAATGAGGGGTTCTGCTTTTTAAGGCTGTTTTAGATGGGTATTTTGGAATTGGGAACACTAAAATGGCAGCTCTGGCAAGTATTACATGTAGTTGTATTTTTCAAAAGAAGAAACAGTGTTAGCTGTGGCATCTCATTCATTCAACTTCCTATTCTTGAGAAGACCAGTTCATTAACACCAATAAGATGAGCAATATCAGATCTTCTGGATTGGGCCATTTATGCCATTTTCTCCTTCTGAGGCACAAGCACATCAGATGTCCTATAAATTCGAAAGACTGCATTTTCTACTTGCCAAGAGAAGGAGGGAATGTTACAAGTACCATAAAATTCATTGTCCCATGCGCATTGTATTAAATGGTGTGACCAAAAGATTTCTGTGTTAAGACTCCAATGGCAATGCTTTGGAGGGTTTTATTAATCCAACCACTCTCACTATGTCTCTTTTAGAACGTATCTTCTGAAGATATTTGAACATGGTAGCCAAGAAGGCTGAACAGTCTTTGAAGAAACAGCGGACCATGCAGCTGAAGGGGTGAACTGAATCCTTGCACATCCTTCAGCTGAATAAGCCCACCCTTCTGAAGAGTTTGGTTCAGGTAGGATTTCTGTATGCTCCAAAAGTGTAGCTGGAGTCCTCCTTCCAAGCTGGATTCTTCAGTGATTCCTGAGCCTTTTCTGAGGCTCTGCCCGTGCTCATTCCACTAGAGACCCAAATACTTGTCAGTACAAACTTAAATCACATATACAGGACGTAGGTCAGTAGGTGGACACAGCTGGTCCAACAGTATCTTATCAATGCCAGTCCATTGCAATGAATCCTTTTATTCCCTGTTTTCCCTGATCTCTCTTAGAGGCTAAAATGGTTTCTCTACTTGCCTCTTTATTTTAGCAGGATGTCTTTTCCAAAGCTGCAAACACACAAAATAATTTGTACTTTTATGGCACTCACTGGAGACAGAGCATTTTAGTGCAGCCAGAAGAGAAAGAATCATCTTAGGTTTAGAGAGTGGGGGAGCTAAGACCTGGAGAGATAGCAATTTGCCTAGGAATACACAGAAGTTCAGCACAGCAGGAAAAAAAAGGATGTGCATCTCCTACCCCCCACAGCTTTCTTTCTTTTTTTTTTTCTTTTTTCTTTTTTCTTTTTTTTTGCCATAAAATGTATTTCTCTCCTTTACTTATTCATTACATATTTAAAAATATCAAAAGGCTTCTGACCTCTGCTGAAAAATAGCTGAAGACTATTATAAAAGCAGTGAAAGAGATTAAATGGACTCATTTCCTACAGAAACTCAGTTTGATTCTGTCAAAAATGTTTGCTGCTAGGATACGCTGTCTTGCCTCACTCTTGCACCATTCATACAGCATTAAGAAGCTCTCTTCTCCTCTGAGACCACAGGAGGTTTCGCATTATGCCGTTAACCTCCTTCAGATCATTTCCTCCACGCAAAATCCAAGTTACATTTACACGCAGACATAATGTCACTCAGCCCACTTTATGCTACTTAAATCTCTCTTGTTGCTATGGAGAACATTGATAAGGAGCCAATTAGCAAATAAAATATTTGAGGAGGAATGTGAAAACAGCTACTTGGTGGATTTGTGTGTAATAGGCAGTGACACTTTCTTTAGCATTTGTCCTTACCTAGCTGAGCTTCTTCCACTGCAGCTTAAGCAATATTCTGTGCAGTTGAAACATGCTCTTCCCACTGGATTTTGAGGCTTAGACATGTATCTTTAACTGTATCTGACCCTGGGGAATTTTGACAGTTCTCAATAGAACAGGGAGTTTGCTTGTTTTTAATGTGCTTTTGCCGGCATGAAAGTGCAAAGAGCACCATCCAGTGTTTAATCCGAGTAAATACAGAAAAATTCAATGACATTGGTATAAAGGCATCTCTGCTCATTTCACGCTTGGGCTACACTTGGTGGGGCCAGTCAGGATCTTAATAAAAAGAGGCTACAGTCAGTTGGAAAAGAGACTTTTGAAGAAAGACTGGCAAGGTTGTCAGCCTGTCGTGAAAACATGAGACAACCTGGAAGGTCACATCTTCTAAAGAAGAGCTGATGACCTAGGGAGCAAAGAACACAAGCAGGAGGAGATGGAGGTAACACTAGATGGGAGTTAGACAAGAATAGTAGCAAATTCCATTTATTAAAGGAATGTGCTATGGCAGAGAGAGAAAATTGGGTCAGATCCTTATGTTGTAGTTCTTTCTCTTAGTGAACTGAGCAAAGAGAGGCTGGAAAGATACACTGGCAGTTAAGAAAGTAAGGGAGAAGTGATTTCAGCTGTCCCTGCTCGGTCTCAGCAGCTTTGTGTATAGATTCACAAATGTGGTAGCCTTGGGTTTTAAGAAGAAAAATGATTCAAAGAAAAGATTTTGCACAGAAGAATGCAGTGAGCTGTAGTTTTTATCACATAGGACTGTAGGATTTTGGTAGGCCAGACAGAAGGGGCTGATAAGACAACAAGGAATCTATGAGGCTAAAAATGGTCAGAAGTCCGTTTAATTAATATCTGCAATGAAGTGATTCCCAAATGAATGTCCAAGTGCATTCTTCATGGAACAAGGGCTATGCTATCTATTGAAGCTCTAGGTAAACAAGCAGACAGTTTTTGATATGTTATGAAAATGTTTTTATTAATCACAAATGCAGAGTACTCCGGTTTATCACAATGTTTTAGTAACATATCACTAATACATCCTCCTTAAAACCAGACTTTGGGCTGGCATAAATTAGAAAAGCTATAATCCAAGACAGCCTCTCTGTTGTGTTCAGGATTCCCAAGAACAACTTAGCATGTGTTTGCTCTTAACCCTTTTTATATTGGACTTGCAGAGAGGGACTTGTTTCTTTCATTAATATTAAGCACAGTTTTCTTTATGCCTTGTGGCAGAAGTGCCCAGATGGCATGGTTTGAATGCTGAAAGCATGAGAAGCATTTAATGTTTTGTGGTGCTCTGTTAAAGTTGTATGAATAGAACATCTGGTATCAAATCTTGGGATAAATCAATTCCTGCAAGTATTTGGACCTGCTATGGGTCTGTGCCTTGTTCCAGTTCTGCATTCCCTCTCTTACTTTCCTGTTTCTAGAGCCAGTAGAGGATGGTTTATTGCCTGGTGCAACCCATTATATTCCCTTTGTTGGAGCTTGGCAATTAGTTGAGCAGAGTATAAAAATCACTTTGGCATCTGTGGGGTTGAAATGGCAGCACTGACTTAAAAAGCCCCTGAAAGGCTTTTTATCTGTCCTCAGGGTGGCGGAAAAAGGAGTGGTCATCCAGAGATTTAGGGAAGGTGCTGCCTGCTATGTGTGCACTTTAACCCTGCTGGGCAGTTTTTGTCTATATGAAACCTCTCTGCCCACTGTAGGGACCTGGTGTGGATGCATCCATGCAAGACCAGCATTCACTGCCAGGGGGAGTGAGTGAATGCTATCCCAGTGCTCAGCACTGACAGATTCCACTGCCAGTCCTGCTTTATACGTGAGAAAAAGTCCTGCAGTGTTGAAGAGTGAGAAGGGGAAATGCGAACTGTTGTCACGTTGTATGATTGATGCCATACAACACATGCAAGTGCCCACAGTTAAGAAATCCTTAGCCCCTGTCTTCCAAATCACAAGCCACTGCTGAGCATCACGAGGAAGGCCTCTTATGCTTTTTACTTCAATAATTATTTTTTTGCCTTAGGAAATGTTTAAAGAAAACCTAAGAAAGGCTGAGTACACAGAGCTCCTGTTACCCTTCCTGAGCCTTGACTCCACATTTCACCAGATTTTCAGGTCAGTGATGTTGCAGATACCCAGAATTTACCTGACTCTTGGATCTCTGAACAAAAACATGATAGAGCATCAAATGGGAATTCCTAAGCTGCGTTTATAATACAATGAAGCAACTGTCTGATATGTAGCAACCAGAAAAAACAGCTCACAAGGTTATGCTATTGAGGAAATAAAATATTTTGAGTCTTGCTATGTATAAAGGGCTGATTTTTTTCTCTTTTCTCCTCTTTGCAGGCTTTGTACATCAAACAGACTTCAGTGAAGTTATTCGTGCCTCACACAAGTGGTAAGAGGAAAGAGAAGAAAGTTATTCATATTTAATGCTATTTTGTGCCAGATGTTTTGCTGGTAGAAATCCATAGCTCCACAGGCACCAATTTCTTCAGGATCTGGAATGTCTGGCCCAATTTCTTTCTCATTCTGGATGGTCTGTGAAAGAAACCACTTTATTTTGCAATATTGAATATTCTTGCTGGGAAGTTATAAGCAAAAACAAAATAATGAGAGACAGGGTCTCTAATAAGCTTCCTGTCACATGAGGCTCTGGTTCTATTGAAGCATATGTGTTTGCTGACTTGCTTCCAAAAGGTTTGTTGAGTGGTGGTGATTAGTTTCTGTTGTACTGATGTTATCTCTCTGTAGTCTCATTCAATACAAGTAGTTCTGTAAACAGTGAAGTCTTTTTTTCCTACGGATTTGTACCTTGGATTGTGTTTCAGCATGGATTCTCTGATGTTTAATGGGGATGGAGTTCATGTTTAGCCAATTTCTTCAATGAGGGATGAATAATCTGTCTTTTTGGCCATCTATTTTCACAAAATTTGCTGGAATTAAATATCTTCAACGCCCTCTATCAAAGTTGACTGGGATTTATGAACAAGTTTTGGAGTTATTTGGGGCTGTCCAATGTAGATAAGAGTCTCATTTTCTTACAAAAACAGAATGTAAAAATGCATTCTTAAAGTATTTTGTCCTTGTATACTACCTGCTTGATTCTATTCTACTTGTGACCAGTCACATAGGATATGTTTTATTTGTAAAGCTGTATGAAAGTATGATGTGTTTTTTTGCCCTGTTGAGTGCATATTAAAGCATCCTTAGTTTATTTTTGTTATGGGCCAGCTGAGATTGTATTTTTTATGGTCCTTGTTGGAACATGGGAAAAGGTGCCACACATTTAACTTCCATGCTTACACAGGTAAGTGCAGACAAAGGACATATGGTTGCTCGTTTAGTATCAGAGATCTCCATTTCTGGTTTGGAAAGGAAGAAAGGAAACACAGAATGGAATATGACCTTTTAGCTTGCTGAGTTCTAGAGCTAAGTTTTCAATCCTTCTCACAAGCAGATAGTGCTATTCAAAAATGTACTCTTTCCCCCTTGTTGTGTCTCCTGTCTTCCCAGTTACCTTCTTTATTGGAAGATTGCTCTAGAATCTCCTAATTTTGACTGGAAGAAACCCACTAATTTCTGTGGTCAATTTATTCCAGGAAAAAAAGACATCTACCCAATTTTTTGTTTGCATCCTGTAGGTAAGACAGATTTGGGTGTCTATTTTTTTAACCTTCTGTCAAGTTACTTTGCTTAATGTAAATGAACAATTAATTTAAAATAGAAAAGGACAGTAATTTAAGAGGTAGAAGAAGTGAATCAAACAAGAAGGTGATTAGATTGGACACGAAAGTGATGTGTTCATTATGCCATCTGTTTATGGTAAAAGAGGAGCTGTCACATGGAAACAGAACAAGAGGTAGAGATCAGGCCCCGCTCATCTTCCCTTGCAAAATAGCCAGATTTCTTCATTTGATGACAGCAGGCTGAGCCCTCGATTCTGAGCTGAATCTCTGAATGATCCCAAGAAAAACAGCAATGGAAATTTTAAACCCCAATTCTGGAGCTGTGATTGTTCCTAAAGTGAAATTTTTCCTTCAAAAGATGTTGTCAGCTGGAACAAGCGTCTGCATTGTGCAGTGACCACGTTCTGGTGCTCAGCAGCCGCTCTTAAACGCTGGACACAGCCTCTCACAGATACTGGCTGCAGAGACCTCCTTCAGATTCTTCAGGTCCAAATGATTTCTGAATAATGATCATCCTGGTTCCCTAAGAAAACACCTCAGCAGCCAAAGATAACTGGAGCGGAATGTGGCTGAACTCATTAGCTTCCACACTGATTCCTCGCCTCCTCTAACCCACACCTGGTCCCAGAGGTCCATAGGGGTGTGCATGGTGGGCAGCCTTCACCTAGGAACATCACCTGTGCCTGGCAGATTAAGACTGGAAGGGATATTTCCTGTTTTCTGGCCCCTTTTGGGACTGGCAAAAGGAACAGCTCGGAACATGAGCAAAGGTCTTCCAAATCTTTGTTAACTGCAAGGATGGGGGATATTGGCCAGCGGTGTCTGGGTGTAAAAGAATAATCAGATCAGAGTCTCAGGAGCATAACAGGAAATACAGACGACTGGGGGTGAGTGTCCCCGACTTTCTTTTTTCCTTTTTTTTTTTTTTTTTTGAATCTTAGACTTTAGCAGCTGATGTGACAACGAGCAACCACAGCCACAAAACATGCATTTGAGAACAGAAGAGCATACATATCTCTGATCTCAACAGAAGTGTTGTTAATGATCTCATTGCCATGTGATGCCACCTTCATATTTAATTTTGGTTGTTATTCTGGCTACAAGAATATGCTGTCTACTTGCGTGGTTGCAAACTCCGACCTGTGCAGATCTGTGTTACCTAAGATTTAATACATCTTTACCCATATTTGCACACCTCTCCACAGTTCCTGGAGAAATTAAAGGTCCAAAGTTCAGCTGTAAGTTAACAGATCCAGATATATCCAGTATTTAGCTTCCATGGACAAAGGAACTGCCCCAAGAGTTGGTTTGTCTTGCTGCATTTTGAAGGTATCAGTACTGCGTGCTGCAGAAGTTCATGCAACATTAGGGAAAAAAAAGAAAGAAAAAAAAGCCAAGTGTATGCTCAATGGAAAACAGATGGATTTTTCATTAGATATAACTTTTAATGATCTGCTTTGAAAGTAAAGATTTGCCATTCTGAGTAGAAGAAGGGCCTCCTCATAGCTTTGTGTAGGTCCCAGGATCATTATCTTAGCTACAGATAGAATTGCAAGATCCTTGTATCATTAGGAGTACCAGTCAGACATCTCTGCCATTATTAGACTTCCAAACACAGCAAAACACTTTGGGGGCCTTAACAATATTTTTCCCAAGACATGTCTTTATCTAATGATGCAGAGTTGTTACAGGCTGGCAGTTGGTTACTCGGTTTCTGGAGTATTACTATTTAACCTGGGGTCAGAATAAAAATCTTTGAATATTTATTGCAAGACAGATCTTTTGCTTCACTAAGGGACTTGTCTTCACAGTCAACCATGGTGTGACTCCTCCAAGTGGTCTTAATGGCTGTGAGAGGTGACCCCAGCAGTCTAGAAAGCCTGAAGACCCTTCCTAAAAAGATGAACCCTGCACTCTGTGCCTGTAGGTACTAAATCAACTTTTGACAAGCACAGAACAATGCAGTCCCAGGGTTTTAGGAATAGACGGTTGCTGCCAAACCACAATAAATGCTTTTGTCTGGAACTCATGGAACAGTAACATAGCAAAGAAGGGTGTGCCCCTGTCCATTAGTCCCTCCAAGCAAATTCTCACAGACATGTTACCAGGAGTCAGATAGATTTCATGAAGCTAGGGGAGAAATAAGCACTCTTTCCTTACAAAGAAAGGCAGAAATACTGCAACTCAGCAAAACAAAGGGCTTTTTTTGTTCCTAAGGGTTATGCAAGAAACTCTAATGCCCATACTCAGGCCCTTTGAAATGACACTCGTATGAGAGAATTTGCATTACCTTTCTTCCCCTACAAGTTGATAAAATTGCTTTACTTCCTCAGCTTATATATAAATACAACCTGTGTCTCCAACTGTTTTCCACTATGAATCAGAATCCAAGCTTCTCAAAGTCCAAAGAAGTTTGGAGCTGATGTTCTGCTTCACTGTCACCTCTCTCACCTTTTTCTACAGAAAATACCTGCTTAAATAATAATAATAATAAAAACTGCATTAATAAACAAGAAATCAGCTCCTTGCTCTTAAGAGAGGTGCTAGAAGGATCAACTGTAAGCTATTACAAATTATGAATTACCTCTCAATTATGTATGTTTTTTCCACTCCTTATTGAGATGATCTGTTAGTTACTTTCTTCAGCTTCCAGACCAGATTTTTAAATGACAAGAATATGTCCATATATATTCTTTTTGCCCAATCAGAGGTGGATGTTGCCAATATGACAGTAGAAGTTGGACCTTCTCACCAATATTCCATTACATTTTGTTGTCAGTTGACTTATGGCAGCAGAGGAGCAGTCTGACAGAATGGCATCTGATGTGGAAGTGCATATGAAACATAAGTGTGGAACTGAATTCCTTCGTGTGGAAAAAGTTGCACCCAATGACATTAACTGATGCTTGCTGAACATTTATGGATACCAGACAGTGGATGTGAGCACGGTGAGGCAGTGAGTTTCAGTGCATTTCAGCAGTGCTGACAGCAACCATGGGTCACCACCACTGGTGGAGGTTTTGATGAACACAGCATTCAGGCTCTTATTCATCACTGGTGAAAATGCACAGGTAATGGTGGTGGCTGTGTTGAAAAGTAGTGCTTTGTAGTTGAGAACTTGCTCTCTCAATCAGTTACTGTGCTCACTGTATCTGTTGTTGTTTCCATGAAAATAAATAGGAGGCATTACGTTTGGAGAGGCCTATATATGTGGCCCAAGGCAATTCCTCTTCACTCAATGCAGCCTAGGCAAGCCAAAGGTTCAACCCTTTCAACCCATGCAGTATTCCTCTTCCATCAGACTGGTGATTAAAAGAAGTGGTAAAAATATCCAGACACTGTTGTTTTTGAAGGGGGCTGATTTTCTGAGAATGAATTCTCAGTGTATTCTAAACAGGCACCTTCTAGAAGTATCTAGCTATTCAAACCTGGTCACTCAAGGGGGAATTTTGCCCTACGTAAAAAGCATCAGCTGGCTCAATGCAAAAATATAAAGCTGACCCCACAATTGGCCTGCTTCCTTCATACGTGTTTGAACCCCCTGAACTGCTTGGGATATTAGCATGTGGGATCTTTTATTCACAAGTGCAGTAGTGTCTGAATGCATGAGGAGTGCTGATTAAAGCTATTCTGAGTTTTAGAGTGCTTTTCTGGCATCTCAAGAGAAGCAAATTCTCAAAAAAAGTAAATTGATCTTTTGAGGACTCTTTGCTGCACCAGTGAAGTATTTTAGCAGTGATGACTTCCAGAGCAGTGATAGAGGAAATACTCACAAGTGACTTCCAAAGCAAGGTACTTCAGATGAGAAGCTGAGTAGTTTTAAGATAAAATTTTAACAGGTCCTGGATGCCTCCTAAAGTTGCTTCCTCAAGCATCTGCACATCAACTCCCTTCACAATTTAAGCTGAGCATACAAAAACGCAGTATGGGTAGGCACTCTTGAATGCTGCTCTGTGTGACTTCCTCATAGTCACTTGGCAGTTCAGTAATAGAAATAAGAACATAGGGTTCTTTATGTCTATTGTGTCCATTAGAACAATGCTGCTGAGAACAACTGAGACAAAAGGCCTGGCCTTCAAAATATAGAGCCTGAAAGGAAAGCTTTGGGGCTTTTTTTTTTTTTTTGTAAGGTCCAAATGTGTTTCATTCAGCTTTGCTGCTTCTCCCAAAGTCTGGTTATAAACAAGTATGATATTTACCCTGGAAGCTGCACATCTGGATTGCAGTGTCTGTAACTGCTTTCATTGTCATAGTAGTTTTGAGCCTCATAATATTCTGTGTGTGTAGAGAACAGCTTGTAAGGGGTAACCTGAGCCAACTCTATATAGTGAAGACCTTATATATCTTAATTCACCAGTCTGCAAGATAGCCACAGTCTTCAACCTTCTAAATTTGCCTCTAGAGTCCTAAAATTTTGCTTTTAATGTCCTGCAGAATTCTTCTGAGTCTAATTGCTCCCTATCAGATTTCCATGCTGACTTTTTGTCCAAAGCAATGATATACCAGCTACTTTCAAGGGAGATGAGCATGAACTTCAGAAAAGTCCACCTCTACGTGTAAACCCTCTTTTACTGTTAGACAGCAGTAGAATCTTGAAATTCATTTCTTTTTTCATTTCTGGCAGAATGGAAATAGGACACGAACTGTTCACTCTTAAGAGACTGAGGTCAGCTAGAGAAGGCTGCATTTGCTTGGAAGAACTGATAGACTACATTGGTTCTCTTCTTTCCCTTTTACATCTTGGAAAGCTTGTCCTAAAAGCTTTTCCAGATCTAAAGACATAGTGGTAAGGTGTCAGTGTGGAAGAGTTAAGATGCAGCACTTTTGTTTAAATTTGCCTTTACCTTCTGCTCTTAAGTTACTACTTGCTGCAGCTGTGGCTTGACAGCTAACTGACTTCTGCATAACTTGTGGCTGATTACCTCATGTTCCTGGTTTCCTTTGTGCTTGCCTGAGTAATTCTTTGCTCTCACAAGCAGAAATATGGACAAAGCCATAGAAGAGTCATTTATTAACCACATAGCTTCAGGCAAACAAATAAGGCTGCACACCCCAGTCTGGATAATACTGTGCTGTGGAACTGTTTGAAGCTCTGCAGATTTGCTGATATCAGTGGAAGGCCAGGCTGTAAAACACAGAGGTAGAGATGTAACGTGTGTTTGTCCAGCATCTGGCATTCTCTTACTCTTCTTCTAACTGGGTGTCTCTGTGGACCTTGTTCATAAATCATTAACACACAATACTTCCGGATAAGTTCTTTCTCAGAAGCTACTGCAATTCTGAGGATTAATTTTAGCCTATCCATTTGTTCTGCTCTTCAGCAACAGCAGAATTTATCTCTTGGACGGATTTTATGAATGATTACCCACATTATTAAATATTATGGCCTTTATGGATGATATAAAGTCAAATCTAGTGATCTGCCATTTGTTCTGTCTAAAATTATTTTTCTTCTCTAATGCAGAATATATAGGTATTTGTAATTTACACCTTTTTTCTTGAGCTTGAAGTAGGGTCATAACAACTCTGCAGTGGTTTAGGCTTGGGAAAGAGCAGCTGGAAATTTGCCCAGCAGAAAAGGACCTGGGGATGGCATGGGGATCTGGGGATGCTGGATGGCATCTGGCTGCACATGAGCCAGCTGTGGAAGGATGATGGCATACTGGCCTGCATGAGAAATAGCGTGGCCAGCAGGACCAGGAAAGTGATTGTTCCCTTATACAGAGCACAGGTGAGACCACACCTGTAGTATTTAAACTACATCCAGATTTGGGCCCAAGTACAAGAAAGGTACTGAGTTTCTCTAACTTGTGCAGAGAGCAACAAAGCTGGTGAAGGGACTAAAAAACAACAAATATGAGAGAGTGGCTGAGGAAACCAGGTTGAGTTTGAAGAAGAGGATGCTGAGGAAAAACCCGCTTGCTTACTACAACTATCTGATAGCAGGTTGCTGTGAGGAAGGCGTCAGTCTCTTTTCTCAGGAGCAACAAGTGATAGGAAATGACAAACTGTTCTCAAGTTGCATGAGGGGAGGTTTAGATTGGCTATAATGGCAATATTTCTTAAGGAGAGCGTAGTCAAGCATCAGAACAGGTTGTCCAAGGAAATGGTGGAACACCCAGGTCTGGAAGTATTCAGAGAAGGTGTGGTGTGGCACTGAGGGACATGGTCAGTGACAGGACTCGGCAGGTCAGATTGATGCTTGGTCCCAGTAATCTTGACATCTTTTCCAACCTAAATGGTTTGATGAAGATCATGGATAACATTTGATATGAAGCAAGGCAAAGGATAGGAGAGTTCATCACTGACTTTTCAACTCTGACATAATGCAAGCACTGGTTTGCATTTCAAGTACAATTTCATTTGCTGGGTTTCGTAGCAGCCTTTACCAGTGCACATCAAAATACATATGTTGGGAGAAACTGAGTTTATTAAGACAGTATATTTTAAAATTGGCTCCATTGCCCCACAGCTGGCAACAAGGAAAAATAATCTGAGGCAATGTGTAAAAAACTTGTTCTCTACCTAGACTGAATTTTCCAATAACTGTCTCCAATAGACCACCCTATGACACTGATTGCAAACATATAAAGCCTGGTTGTTTCAAAAGTAGTAGAAATAAAATGTAGATGTTGAAATGCCAGCCTCCCTCTATTTCCTTCCAACCTTTTCTTTTCATCTCTTACTGTTTATTTTACTTTTTTTCTTTCACGGTACCTTTACTCTCGCTGGTTTTTCCTTTCAGTACCTCTCTGTTTCTTCTCAGAATCAAGTGGAGCTTTTAGCATTAATGGCAGAATAAGAGCCAGCAGACAATGAAAAGAAGCTGGGGCAGCAAATTCTGTGAGCATACAAAGCAAAAAGGAAAAGAATAATGTGGGTTACTGACACCAGCTTCACACACCACACGCTTGGTACCAACCAATTTGGAATTGTAATTCTCTGAAGTAAAGCCTAGCTCAGTATGTTTTGTTGTGTTAGTTTTAAAACTGCTTAAAAGATCTTTTAAAGCTTTGCCTCACATACCTTTGTTTTAAATAAAAAGAGCTTAGTAATGAGCAAAAACCAGCTGGGGAACTACAGCGTACAACTGGGACAGAGAGGCTTTCAGGCTCTACCTACGTGTTCATTGATTTTGAGCTGCTTGTCAATCATTGTTAGAGTACTGACATGGACTGAATTCACAAAAAAAGGGAATGCTGCTTATTTACTTATTTATTTGCCTTAAGGAGTTTTGGGCATTTTGAGGAAGCCGGGAAAAGGCACGAGCTGCTGCTAATATGTTTGTGACAGGGCTCCACACCCTGACTGCTCACTGAAGTTTCCTTATGCTGTTAGAAAGCCAGAAGAAAGATGTGTAAATAACAGAGATTTTGGAGACATTTCTTCTTGCCACCTTGGAAAATGGAGAATGTTTGCAGAAGAACAGAACTAATTATTCAGGAAGGGAAGAACTCTGAAAATAAAATAGCAGACTCATGAGCCTAGATCACTGAAAAACCCAAGCAGCACTCACTTCTGTTGTCTTGAACTAAAATACGTTAAGTGGTTCTTTTTTTTTTTTAAATATACTTTCTACAAAGGATATTAACTAGAATAAAATATTAGAGGACAAGGCTGTTTTAACAATAATACTTGTAGAACAGCTGCAGCTCAAATATAGCTGTGTGGCATGGAACATGCAATGAAACAATCTGCAAAATTTAGTGCTGTGAGTCAGATGTGGTTCTCATAAGCCGCTGATGTAACACTTCACAAAGCAAGCTGCAGAACAGGATAAGATGGGAAGCTGCTGAAGGATTTCTGCAGTTTCTCCTCCCAGGTCCTCTCTACTTTAAATTCTCCACTGGTTAAAAAAAGGAAGAAGTCAGTATAGATATATTCTTCTGGTTTCCATTCATCATTTCTTTGGCTATATGGGTCCATAGCAAGTTCTTGCAAACTCCTCTTGTAGGAACTAATTAGTGTGAAATGTACTACAAATTTATCACAGCTTTCCTCACTAATAATTAAGGAAGTTGATAAGACATCCACAAAAACATAATTCACTTTCCCTTTGAGGGCAAAAAGGATGCAATTTTATTATAAAAACAATTTTATTGCCTTAGTATTATATTACAAAAAATGCCTTCCACAGCAGAACACATTAAGAACAGGGATGAATGCAAACCAAACAAAACAGAAAGTAAATCATCTATGAAACCACTTATTTCAGTACAACAGGGAGCAGTAATCCAAGTTTGAAGCTGCTTTTCCTCCTCTGGAGAATGCAGCACTTATTTTTCTGCTTATTGGAGCTCCAGGAATAGGCCAAAGTAATTGCACTGCACTGAGATTTTGATTCCTTCTCTCTCAGAGTAACCCATACCTTGTCTCCAATGAGGACGAGTTTGTTGCAGCAGAGGAAAAGCTGTCATGAGAAAGGCTGCAATTCTGACTTGCCAGAGCAATAGCTATGAAATGTGCTCTCTTCGGATGCTGGACAGAAAGGAGAATTTGTTATATTAAAACATGACAACGTGTGCACGTGTTTGGTCCACACCAACAACTGCTGCTCAGATCTCCACTCCCATCAGATTTCTGCTGACTTCCAAAAGCATAACTCCTCCAGGAACACAGCTCACATGAGCACTTTATGATGCTTCAACAGAACTCCACAAAGCTTAACTTCTGTCATGCTTTCTATTAGCACCTTTACAAAAAGGGATTCTTGAGTGAGGAGACAATCAAGATCTTTACCTTTTAGTGCCCATTAACACACTGACCAACACCTTCCTGTACACCTGACAGCAAATGAAAAATTGAACATACCAAAAGGTACACAAATTCTTGGGTGTGCAGCCACCTCTTTGGTACCACAGTTTATCTGATGTCAGCACTTGCCTCTTCTGCTTAAGTTACAAATCTGCATTATTTGAAGCATTTATAGCCTGGCAAATTCTTCTTGCAAAGGATGTTGCTAGCACAGCTTACAAAGTTCAACCAATCCTTTACTTTCTTTTAATGTTATGAAATAATTGACATTTCTTCCTTCTCTCTGCTCTCATTTATTACGTTGATAATGCTTCTGAAGTATTTCATAAATTCCATCCGAACATCTTCAGGATCTTCTTCTAAGTTGGAATGTATTAGTTTCAGCTTGTTCAGTGGGTAAGCTTTGAATGTAAGAAAAAAAATATTAGGCATATGCCTTTAGAAAAGCAGCACTTGTGATCAACGTCATGGGACAGATCTTGGTAAGACATCAGTTGGAATTCAGAATTATCAGATGTCTCATACCCCAAATGACACAATGTGAAAAAGAAATGCAGCATAGCTTGTTGGCACTACAAACAAGAAGAACTTGCTGCTAGTTTAAATTCCTCAAATGTTATAATTAAGGCTTAAAGTATTGGTCTCACAGTCAACGAGGCATAACTGAATAATTCAGCACTAAATGCATTTTACTACTGAATTGATAAGATTTCTGCATTATTTTAAAATTACAGAACGGTGTTATTATGTTAAATATGCATTAATATATTAATGCTTGTAAGAAGTACTTGTTTGAAAACCAGAATAGGTTGTCCAGAGGCAGTGCATGTTCTCACTTGTAGAAACAGCCACAAATAATTGTGCTGCGTGTAATAACACAGCTATAATAATTTTAAGAGGAAGATCATTAACCTTGTAGTACAAAGGACTCCTAGTCTGCTGATGACTAAAATTCAGGGTTAAGGGGCTTCAAAAATGTCAGTAAGCAAAAGGTAAAACTGCATAAGATGAACTGCTAGTGATGATTATTTCTGGTTGCAGTCATCAGTTTTAATGCCTGGCTCAGTTGCACACTCACTGCATGGCCTCAGAGATGTCACTCAAATGTTTCTAGTCTTTATTTCCACTTTTGGGAAACAGGGACATTGCTTACCTTTTAGGTGACTTTTGAAATTCAGTAATTTTGTTTTGCAAAGCATTCTAATATTCTTAGATTTTCATGAAAAATAAAAGCCACAAGGTATGGCCAATTTCAAAGATTAAAAAATCAACAAGAAAACTCTGACCAACATATTCTATATTCTTACCTAAGGACAGATTTTCTGTGTCCTCTGCGCTACCTGGCTTGTGATGTGCAACAAGGAGACACTGGCTGTCGAGCAGCGGCTGCTGCTGCACGAAGCAGGAGTACCACATTTCAATTTCTTTCAGGTGACTGGGCAGCTCAGGATTGAAGATTATTATTACACCGTGAGAGTCCTTCATAAGAGCTGGCCAGCATGTTTCAAACCTTGAAAAGGAGGTGCATGGAAAACGGTAAGGCTGAGAGCAGGGAAATGGAAATATGCACTCAAACTTCTCAGTTTTCTTCTCCCCTCCTCAGCAATGTATCTTGGTGGATGCTCCATCCCTGAAGACACTCAAGGTCAGGCTGGATGGGGCTCTGAGCACCTGATGGAACTATAGGTGTCCCTGTTCACTGCAGGGGTGTTGGCCCAGATGGCCCTTAAATGTCCCTTCCAACTCTTACAATCCTATGACTTTATGATTTCAGTAGTTTTTCTTGAATATAATGTTAGTAATCTTGCAGTAATCTATGATACTCCTAATATACTTTCTAACTTATTCCTAAAAACTAATCTGTCCAGTTCTGTAATCCTGGGAAATTAAGGCTCAATCATATAAATACATTATTTGAAATCCATTCACAGAAACAGAAACAGAAAAAGGCAGGGCCCCTGCTTTGCCTCTAACTTCATTCTGAGAACCACAGATTTTATTGTTATGCTCAGCCCGTAGCCAAAACTAACGGTGTCAGCTGGGATCATGGAAAGGATTACCCAGCATTAAATGCTCTACAACAGAAAGCAATACAAATTTACACAGGAGTGAAGAGGTGGTAATATTCCTCATCTCCAAAAGATCACAGGTTTCAAGGTCTTACCCATGAGAACGTTGTGTAAACAAGAGAAGTACAAACTGAATAACCTGGACAAAGTAACAGCAATGCCAGCTTACTTCTGATCACCGCTGCAGTCCCACAGCTCAAATCGACACCCAGCTCCCTTGCTGTTCCCATTTAAGTTTGGCTTCTCGTACTCCAGGATCCTGTGAAGACAAGCAGGTGTCATCCACCACCTCAGACCTGTGGGTTGCTTGCATCCACACTGCTGTTCTCACCTCACTCCTTGTGTTGGGACATAGCTGCCAATCCCCTCTGTGCTCTCCGAAACAAAGTTTGCCAACACGGATTTTCCAGACTGGAACAAACGAGAAAATAAAAGACAACCGTATGAATTCAACACTCCAAAGCCACAACGGACAGGAGAACACGGGGCTGCTCCCAGCACCCTGCCTTCCTTCAAGGCAAATGCACGCAGGCCTGCCCGCCTCCCCTCCCAAACTGCACGGCCGCAGCCTCCACATCTCCGTGCCTCCCAGGCCTCGCCTGGGAACTGCGGCCCTCAAGGGGCAGCCCCGAGCCCCGGGGAGGATGCCCAAGGGTTACGTGCAGCCCCGAGGCTCCCTCACCTCGCGGGGTCCCACCAGCAACACCTTCGCCTTCAACATGGCGGCCGCCCGCCCGTCGCCTAGCAACGAGGCGGCGGCGGAGGCGGGGAGGGGGGATGGAAGGTGCGCTGCGATTGGCTGTGCCGCCGTCACGTGGTGGAAGGGCTGCACATAAAGTAGGGCCACCCGGAACGCTGCGGACAGTTCCGCGTTCCCGCTGCTTGGCGGTGCGCAATGGCTGTGGGAGCAGCGGGCGGCTCGGGGCTGCCGCGCCGTGGTTAACTGCTGTGGCTTGAGGGGCGATCGCTGTGGTGTCCGTGGGACGGGGCTGGCTGCGGGGTTCCATGAGAAGTAGGGTAACCGACACAAACACGGCGAAACGGGCACAGCGTGCTGCGGTGCGGTGTCCCTGTGCTCCGTGAGGTGATGCGGTCCCTGCCTGCGGTTCTGCTGCTGTTTTGACGGCAGATTGTCCCTGCATGGACAGCACAGCAAGTTTGTTAGGGTAAGCAGGAGTATTCCTTGAGTGGCAGCTAAATACAACAAAACGCCATCTGGCAGGCAGCTGTGCTGCTCCGGGGCTGTTTGGTGCCCGGGTACAAACGAGCTTTCAAGCAGGGCTTTTAAATGCTCCCGTAACATAGATGTTTACTACGGGTTCTGCTAATAAATGTGAACCAGGACTGCTCTGCTCGCACTGAAATGGCTCTGAGCTCGTTCTGTCACGTATGTTTTAGGTTTGTGAAGGTACACGTGTGAGTCAGGGTGAATTCACGATGCGTGGCACAGCTTGTTTGTTAATGCTTTCTGCTGCTGTGGTGTTTCTCACCTTTCAGACCCAGTAACTTTGATGGGTGATCCAGAGAGAAGCAATGAGGACAACATCTCTCCTATTAGCTGGCACATCCACAAGTACATGGAGAAAAATGTGTATAAAGGGATTGTGGACAGCGCAGTAGAAGGAAATAATGGACTAAGAGTGAGAACTGGTAAAGCTGGCTGCTTGTGCAGCTGCCCAGAAAGCAGTTGGGATTAATTTTTAGACGAAGTATCACGTAGCATCCTCGTGTTTGTATCAGCCACTGAAGAGTAAGGAGAGCACAGCTGGCTATGGCTGTGATTTTCCCATCTACACGTGTGCCTTAGGGCTTTAAGTCACATCACAAAGTGGAAATTAAGCTGCCTGTCCGCTTAGGATGACATTTTCAAAGCATCTAAGTTAAATACAGTTGCTGTTACAATCAGCATCTGCCTCAGGAGTTCAGGTTATGTTGGTTACTGATACGTTGGTTGCTGAGGCTACGTGTGTACAAATCAGCAGGGCCATTTTGTTTTGCTTACTTAAAATTCTTTGTTAGGCTGCAGGAAAGAGAAAACTCCATCTGTAAGTGAACTGCTTCCAGACTGTACTGGTCTGTAAGCCTTGCATTTATGAGATGGCTGTTTCTTCACCAGAACATTTTGGTAGCAAGCAAAAATGATCTCCAGATGATTCTGTGTGGAAAGATCCTCCTTCTTCCTTCAAAAGCAATTGCAGGCTATTAATAATATTTCAGTAAAATTATTCTTTGCTCTAGAAATGTCTGTGAGAATTCACAGGTGCACTGATTGCTCTACCATGACACGTGGTGCTTGAATTGCAGGTAAGAGGCTCCAAGTCAGAGACCCACAGGTTTTACTGGAAGCAGCAGTAAAATGTAGTGCCCGTCATTCAGAGAATTCTTAAGCTTTTGCAAATCATTCAGTCTTTTGGAGAACAAGTATCTTGAGTTTGTGTTATATTTTGTTGAATGTGGCATGTAAAATTATTCTTGTGAAAGCAGCCCCAAAAAATCTTTCCTAAGCTTGTGGCTCAGTACTGGTACTTTGTGTAGTGCTCTGTATTTCCAAGCTTTGGGAAACATACCCTACAGCAGTCGCATCAAGTTGTGTGTGAAAATACTGAATGCCTCTTCAGAAATACAGCCACATGGCAAGACTTACCATGAGAATGAGTGCTCTGCATGTTTATTGTGTGCATGTGCAGAAACAGCCTTCGAATAGATGCAGAGACCCACGCTCTATCCCATTTACTGATCCTGATCAGTTGGGGAGCAAGGCATAGAATGCAAAAATTGAAAGGGAGTAACACTTTGTGTGTGCTGAAGACATTTATTAAATAAGGAGAATATCAGTACTGTTGTGAGCTGCAGGCTTGCTTCCGAAGATGCTTGGGGAAGCAATATCTATCTGATGTTGATTAAGCAGGTAGGATGAGGTAGGCAGAAGAGTTGATGAAGTGTGGCTGCTCTCCGGACAAGGCTTTGGTAGAGCTAGGAAAAAGGACCAAGTGGAAATAGGACATTAAGGTGCATTGACAAGGGGTGCAGAGGATTGCTGCTCTTTATCGAGAGTCTGTTTCACTTAAAGGTGGCTCCTAAGGGGATGTGAGCGCTCACTTCAGTCTTTCTCCTCAGAAAATCTGTTCTGGAAGCTCATGAAAAACCAGCTGCTTTGATCATACTAACAGATCATTGTGGACTACGTTAATAGGATTTATCTGTGATCTCAAAGTCTTCTTCAAAGAAGATTAGGATCTTTAGGATCTTAGGCATTTAGTTAAAATGCCTCTAAATTTCTGTGCAGTTCTTTCTGGCACCCAGGTTTGTCATCACAGAAGATGCAGGGATGCAGAAAACTCAGTAGCCAATATATTTTCCTGACAAGTGGACATGACCTTATCAACACCCTAGAGGCCAAAGCTCTCTATGTACTTTCATCAAAACCAGTGGTTGTTCCCAAGGATGAATTTGACTCGCTCCATTTATGAAGTGATGCTTTAACAAAACTCAAGAAGCAACGTTCCACCTCTGTGACCCCTCCATCTCAATGCATCACAATGCTCAATTTTCTGATTTGCAGCACACGAATCTGGAGAGATGATTTAGCTCTGATGGTTTTAAATCTTTAGCTAAAACTGTCTATGATGCTTCTGATAGATGTCGTTTTTGTTATTCTGAGTTTCTCTGATCGCAGTCTGTGGAGCAACAGTAACACCTAGTGGCTAAACGTGCCAGTCCATTGTCTTCTTTTGTTCCCTCCCTTCAAGAGGTATGAGTTGGAGGGGATGTGGTGTGATTGACAGTTTTGACTTGAGAGGCCAGCATTAGCATCTCCAGGGATTTGCCATTTTCCTTTCAACCCTTCACCATGTTCTGTTTTCTATTAAAAGTGGTGGATGAAATATGAAACTCTTCCTCCCACCCCCCAGCCTCCATCGCTTTTCTGGCTCATGGAGAAGGTTGTTCCAGTCCATCTTGATCTGTAGGTGGGTGGGCCGTGAGTGGCCTGGTCTACTACTTCCAGCTTGGAGCACTCAGATTTCTACATAGAATCCAATATTTGTTTTTCTTTTTTTCTTCTTTTTTTTTCTTTTTGGTACGAGAAGGATCGAGCAGATCACCCGACAGAGCTTGGTGACCTTGGTACAGCTGATAACGTGGTGTTAACTTGCCTGAGTTGAGGCAGTCCAAACCAGTCTGTTCCAAACAGTACTGTTTCTAAAGATGTGGTGCGCAGGATTGTTTGCCACGATTTACTGCTAATCTATCAGAGCAGGGATCCCCTAGAAAAATAGTGTTTGAGAGGAAAGAACCCACAGGTTCACTGCGTTTGCAGGGAAGCCCTTCCGAGGGTTTTCTCTCCCATAGCAGAGGAAAGCTTCAATTTTTCCTTGGGGGAAAAAAAAAAATTAAGCAAAAGTATTTCAGCTAAAGCATTCATAAAGACAGCTTCAACTCTGTGGGAATTACAGTACAAAGCCATCATGGTTTTGTCATGTTTGTGCTGTCTAATCTTAGGCTTCTGGCTTAGGTATTCTGAATTACCCTTTGGAAGAGGCATCTATTCAGGAGAATCTTCATTGCCTGATGACAGTCTGGGCTCTTAATTTGTGCTGTGGATACATTCTTTTTCCTCTGGGACAAACTTGCATCACTGCCTGCTCAAAGTAGCAGCGCTGCCTCCGTGCCCATCCCCAGCTTTCAATTTAGGCCTGTCCCAATTACCAGGGAACCATTTTCAGCTGAAAACTGGTATGACCCCTCTGAAAAGAAGAGAAAGAATAGTTTTCACTTGGACCAACCTTCTGTTCCTGCTCACTGTGCTGCACAATAACCTGTTGCTAGCAGAGAGAAGGTAACAAGGACCTGTGGGGATGTGGCTAAGTGGGACAAAGTGGGGCTGTTTCTTTCAGCCACTGTAGATATTTGCTGCATTGAAGCAGGCATTTAATTACACCATTAATCAGTCCTCTTAAATTTGGTATTTTTAATGTCTGTTGGTGAGAGCGGTGAAAGAGAAACGTTGCCTGGTGGTGAGGAATGAGGAATAATGTGTAGGGATGGGCTGGTAGAAGAGGGCACAGCAGCTTTATTGAACTGGATAAAAAAAACCTCGGTGCCTGGGTGGTAAAAATAACAGTTTCATAGGTGGTAAAGAGTACTGGATAACTAAAACAAGACAAACAAGGCATAGCTGTGATTCAAAAGAGCTCGTGCAACCTCTTCTATTAGACCCTTATGTTTTTTGTTTTGAATACAAAATTTCAAAGTAAATTTTGTTTCTCATTGACAGATGTGTTTGCCACCCCTGTTGGTCTGGAAAAAGCCTGCATTTATTAAGAGTCTGATCTATTTATTCACCCAAGGACAGATCCTTAATGCTGTCATAGAAAGCAAGCCAAAAAAGCACGTATTGCCTCGGAGGGGCTGCCTTGTGGTCCTAAATGAGAGGACATCCTACTGACAGGAAGGTTTTGTTTTCTCTCATTTTTTTTCTCTGCTTGACTTATGTGTTGCTTTGGAGATGATGGCCAAAGCCAGGAGTTTCTTAACCCCGCAGTCCTTCCAGGCATTATGTTTCTGTTAACATCCTGGGTCAAATCAGCTGTCTTTTCCAACGTCTCACATTCGTTTTCATTGCAGACTCAATTAACCCTTGGCAGCTTGCCAGTAGGGACAACGAATTTATACCAGCAATTAGTATATTTTGAGGAGTTTGGAACAAGATCTCCCCAGTCCTTGCAGCTTTGCTTAGTGCAGTGATGAATGCTTAATTGTCATAAA